CCGCCCGCCCGTCGTTATGGCTTGTGACATGGCTGACCAGGGGACTCGGCTCCTCGGTACTTCTGCAGCTCCGTGACAGGCCAGGTACATTGGCGGCATACTCAGCAGAAAGGTTCCCGATTTCCGCCGCCACCGCAGTCTCAACGGCGGCGGCGACGACGGCAGCGGCGACGGCAGTTGGCTGCCTTGTGGACAGTAAGGAGGTGGCTGTCTCTTCGACAGCACTGCCGCCGCCGTGGCTGCGCCGCGGCGTGGCGGCCTCGTGCACGATAGGCCGGCCGTGTACGACTGAGCTTGCCGGTAGCTGCAGTGAGTGCAGGTACGGCGGAACGGCTAGCACTGTCGCCAGCGGGGTTGCCCCGCCGCCGCTGCCGCCGCTGCCCCCTTGCTCCGAAACCACTGCTGTTGGCGTCAAGACGCCGTCGGCCCCAAGCACAACGCTGCCGGTTGAGCAACTCACGACGGGCAGTTCAGAGGCCAACTCGCCGAGGCCGTGTGGCATTGTGCCTTGTGCACCACCGCCAGCGCCCAAAATATCTGGCCTGCCGTACACCGTGCTCACTGCCGCCGGATCGACGGCGGTGGCGGCGTCAAGGGCTGCCGCGTCAGCGGGTACGGCATCATCATTCACAGTTGGGATATCCGCCACATGGTCGTCGTACATTACACCCGGCAGTAGTTGACCGCCTGCATCAGCGGCGACATGTACGTCACCCTCCCGTATCGCACCGCTGCCAGAACCGCAGCTGGCTTCGGCTGCCGCCGCCGCCCCGGAATGCACCGCCGCTATTGCTGCTACAGCTGCTCCCGCCGCTGCCGCCGCCCCACGCTGCACCTTGATGTCGGTCCTGATGGGCCCTACAACTGCGTCAGCTGCCACCTCGTCGATGACCTCCCAGGCAGTAGCAGCGGCCCCTTCAGCGGCGGCAGCCGCGACAGCCTCCTCAGCCGCCACAGTGGACGCGCCGCCGCCCAACACGGCTACTGCCCAAGCACCGGAGCCTCCAACCGCCCAACACTGAGAACCCTGTGCAGCGCCCACGGGTGCGACATCGCCACTGACGGCAGTAGCAGCCGCCGCAGTAGCAGCATTGGCCGCGACCCCGCCGGGAGCAGCACCATGAGCACCGGTCACGGCCCCCTCGGCAGTAGCACCGGCAGTTGCATTGGAAGCAGCAAGGGCAGTAGCACCGGCAGTTGCAGTGAAAGCAGCAACGGCGCCACTGGCAACGGCGCCGGCAGGCAAGATCTCCCTCTGGTGCGATGAAACTGCAACATCCCGACTCTCCCCCTCCTGCTGCTGCTGCTGCTGCTGCTGTAAATCCAGGAGGCTGCCATCGGCAACTGTCTCAGCCGCCGCCATCGCTGTCCGCAACCCAGGCTCGGACTGCTCTGGGGTTGACTTCAGAAGTAGCTGTTGCTGCTGCTGCTGCTGCAATAGCTCCTGCGGTGGCACTGGCGGCAGTGATGACGGCGGCGGCGGCGGCTTCAATGCCTCTTCCGTCTGCTGCGGTAGAGGTGAGTGTGGTAAGGGGGGCAGCGGCTGCTGCTGCTGCTGTTGCGGCTGATCCAAGAGCTGTGTCTCCTGCCCCAGCGCCAAGTCGTTTTGGTGCTCCTTCTGCTGCGGCTGTTGCGGCAGCGGTAGCGCTGGCGCCAGTAGTCCCTGTAACCCCGGCTGCTGCTGCTGCTGCTGCTGCTGCTGTAGTTGCGCAGGCGCCTGCAGCTGCAGAGGCTCCGCCGACTGTTGTTGTTGGTCGTGCTGCTGCTGCTGCAGTGGCAACGGTGGGGGCGGCTCCAGTACCTCCGAAGGCTGCTGCAGCTCTAGCTGCTGCTGCTTGTGTTGCTGCCCATTATGCTGCTGATGATGATGAGTATGAGGCAGAGGCAGCGGCGCCGGCGGCGACGGAGGCACGTGCAACGTTAGCGGCTGGTCTTGCCGCTGCAGTACTGCATCCGCAAGCTGCCATTCCAGCACCTGCTCCGCTGCCTGGCGCCCCGCGACCCCCGCTCCCTGCAGCAGTTCGCCCGCTGCCTGAGTG